ATACCTGACTACTCCTGAACCTTTTATTTAGTGTAAGAAAAACAAAAAACACTGTATTGGTGTTTTAAAAACATCCATTCTGCATTAAGGTTATGAAAAGCCTGATTTTTTTTAAAGTGGTTAAAGCAAGGAAATTGAGTTAAAACTGCTACTCTTCTTAACTCTGGGCTTTGTGAGGGTCTTAAAACAATGAAGGGAGGAGGGGATCTGTTAGCCATCTTAAACTTGATAATCTAACGATGAGTGAGATTCAGAGTGAAATGGCAGGTAAAATCCACCTTGCATTAGCTAACTTGAGTTAACAACACCTCCATTACCCCAGTGAAAATAAAGCCGAAGTCTTTTACAAGTGTTCAGCATGACAGCACTTTTCTAAAGTAGGCAGATATCCTCATTTTCTGAAGTGAGAAGAAACTTGAGGCATGTAAACGCCTTCCCCCAGAGTCATAGTTTTTAGTAATTGATCTGGAGTCTTGACTCATCCACTGATGTCTGATCAGGTCTGCGTTCTTTGAAAGTAGTATTATATTAACAGAATCCTTAGTTCTTTGTTTCCGACTATATACAAGTCACTGAATGCCGCATGTCAGATCCATTTTGGGCTAACGCTCATGGATAAACTCTATCACTACATTTGTTTCAGCTTTTTTAAAATCTTTTTTAGCGTGGCCAATGATAATGAATGTATTGCTTACCCACAGAACAAAGAGGATTTTAATAATTTGGGTTTACTAGTTAAAACGCATCTCTCTCATAGTTTGAGATCGCATGATCTGAATATCTGAAGAAAGTCCTATTCTAGATTATATGTAGTATTCACCACTAAAACAAATCAAGGCTTAACTTGCTTAAGCCCCTTAATGTAGATGGACATAGGTGTGGCTGAGTGAGAGCTTAAAATCATGAGCTCTTGCTGTATCTGTTTTGTTTTCAAATGTGGGATTTTGGTTACAATGCTTTTCATTTTACGTAAACACTAATTTGATTGTCTAATACATTTCTTTATTGCTAAAAAGGGTTTGTTGCAGCTAATGAGTTCCTACCAGTGTATGTTGTTGTGTAATAAATGCACAGGTTAAATGGAAATGAGGATTTCAGAGTTCTGCCTCAATCTCACCATTTTATGAGTGTATTAAATATATCCACAGTTGTCCTGCTTGCTAGACAAAGCCCTTTTTGATCCACCTGTCAGGTCAAATGCAGTTTGTGTTCAATAAATAATTGGGGATGAAATTGATATCTAATTAAATTTTTAAATGGGGAGGAAGTGGTTTCTGCTGGCTAAACACACAACTGGAACTTAGGACTCTGGGGTTCTTCTAGACATAATTTTGTCATCGACTTGCTCTGTGGACTTGGACAAGCCTCATTTGCAAAGTGGGTGGGATAGTAGTTGTCCACCTCCCAGAGATCTTGGGACATAATGTTTGTAAAGTAATGTTTGATCCCTTGTTGAATAGTGCTATAGAAGTACACAATATGTTGGCCTGGTCTGCACCTAGAACTTAGGTTGACCTTACTACATCGATCAGGGCTGTGAAAAATGATGTGCTCTGAGCACCATAACTTTGGCCCACCTAACCCCTGGTGTACATGTCTTTAAGTCAATGGAATGATTCTTCTTTTGACATAGTCCACCTCTCTGAAAGATGGGAACTATCTACATTGATGGAAAAACTCCTTCTGTCGATGGAAGAAGCCTCTACACCACAATGGTACAATGGGACAGCTGCAGTGCGGTAGCTGTGTGGCTGTAGTGTAAACATATCCTTATTGTCTGAAGGCTCCAGTCCTTTTGTTCAGTTAACAGAAGGTGAACAGTGGGAAGGCACCTAAACCTGTACAAGTGATAACCTTCAAACAACAGAATTTCTGGACAAGAATTTTAAAGATTATCCATGTCTCTGACTGAAGATTTTGATTCCAAAGAGAGAATCCAAAAAACGTTTCTTTTTTAAACAATGGCTAAGAAAAATGATAATTGATGCATTGTGTTTGAATGCAGCTGCCCACGTTGTTTTCCTGACTCTGCCTGCACACATTCCTTCTAAATGTTTTATCGGCTTTATGTATACTGGCCAAAGTAATATTTCTCTTCAAGATTTCATTAGTGGGGGCCTTTCTCCACAGTTGTTGTTGGTATAGTGGAGTGCCAGCTCTGCTATAGTTCAGGTTTAGAATAGCGTTCTATTTCATGCTGGACTTCTTAAAGTGCTTTAAAATCTCCAATGTTACTTAGCCATGGTCTACACTGGGCGGGAGAGAGGGTGTCGATTTAAGTTACGCAACTCCAGCTACGTGAATAATGTAGCTGAAGTCAACGTACTTAGATTGAATTACTGTGGTGTCTTCACCGCGGTGAGTCGACTGCTGCCGCTCCCCCATCGACTCCGCCTGCGCCTCTCGCGGCACTGGAGTACAGGAGTTGATGGGAGAGGGCTCGGGGGTCGATTTATTGCGTCTAGTCTAGACGCGATAAATCGATCCCTGCTGGATCGATCGCTGCTTGCTGATCCGGCTGGTAGTGTAGACATACTCTTTGATTCCTTTGAAATTTGGTGAGCCTTATGGGGGAAAGGGTAGGATTAGTGATCCAAATTTGGGGTCACTTGAAAAGGTTTTTTGAGGTACAGCTCCCCCTCCTTGGGGGGGAAAAAGCAGCTTTTCTTAAGATTCATGGATTCTACCAGGGCTGCAATCCTGGCACAAGGGTCTTAATTGCTCGAGAGTTAACCCTAAAGAGTGCATGGCACCCAGTATCCCTGGGGGGAGCAAAATTGCAAATAGTATTCGGGAGAGAGTTTAGCTCTCTAGTTAAGCATGTGCCTAATTCTTATGCACCAGATGGATTACTGTGCACACAGAATAGCCAAAAGGCTTTCTAGCCTGCCAGTTTCCGTTGCAGCTGGTCAGCTAAAGCGTGTACGCAGAATCTCTTGATCTACCCTCAGCCAATGTTCAGTTTTCTGCCCTTGAAGTGATAAGGTTTGAAGGCGTGTTGCTAAACTCTGTCTTTAAAAATAAATATGGGGAAAATGCAATCAAACTGTTTTTGAAAATAAAATAAATTAGACATGTGAATGCTTGCTGGGAGGTGAAAGAGCGGAGGAATGGGGGCAGTAAGTGAAGAGGTGTTTGGGACTCCAGCGAGGAGAGAGTGGATTATGGTGATAGGGGATTGGGGAGAAGGGTTGGAGGGCTCAGGTGAGGGGGGATGAGGGTTCTTCCCTTTTAATGATGTAATTCTCCCAGGTTAAAGCACCTGGTTTCAAGGCCTAATATGCTGATCTTGCTGTATGTTTTCATTTCCATCCCAGAATATATGGAGGCTGCAACAGGAGCATAGTTGTCTTGAATGGTTCGAGAAGTTGCTGGAACCTAAAGATAACTCATCCTCACTTTACTGATGCTTGTCGGATTAAATAAGTGTATCAGGTTCCTCATGTTGTTTTTGTTCTGTTATAAAGTGGATGCCATAGGAAAGTACATACTGTACTAGGGTATTTACTGTACTAGGGTATTTCTGATAGGTGGAATATATACTGCAGTGGAGCCTACTGTACTATGGGAAATGCAAACTCTTCAATGGTAACCATTGTAAGTGTAAATTGTAAAGTACAATAGATAAAATATGCCAGAGAACCGAATCCCCTTTCTGAAGAGTTTACGGTCTAAAGACATGAGCAGGTGCAGTGCAGAACAGGCATAAGATGAGGTTGCTGTTGACAGTTGGCTTCATGGAATGGTGACCTGTCTGATGTTTGAAGGAGGGAGGGAGGTTGTGGGGCTAGGTGTATCTTAACTGGGGGGCTGCCCTAAACATTAAATGGGCTGTAGGAAAAAATCGTCAAGTCGGGAGTATAGATGAAGTAGACAAAGGGAGCAGTTAGGAGAGAAATTTGGGCACAACTTTTGGAGCAGGAGGGGAGCGTAGGAGGAGATGAAGATAAATGTTGGCAGGGGCAGAGTGGTGACTGAGAAAAAGCAGGAATTTAATGTGAAGAGGAGAGGTTTGAATTTAATGTGGAAGGGGAGGAGGAAAAGCCAGTGTAGATATTTAATATGCGTTTAATTCTGAATTGGAGGAGGGTCTCTTGGGTAGTAAGTTTTACATGGGGCTGTGAGATAGCAAACATAAGAAGCCTGTGCAGTTCTGTCCTCAATGTGGACATGTGAATAATTTCCCCTGGGTGATGCAAATAGACAATTTATTTTGAACTACTGTTCAGAATATATTTAAAACCAAAGTACACATAGATATAAAGGCAGTCATTCTGTTCCCTGTAAGGGTTTGTAATGTCCAAACAACTAAGTGACCTGATTTATCTGACACTCTTACAACTTCTAATAGGGAGGTGAACATTAGGCTTCACTGAATCTTGGGAGATATTCTCACCTAACACCATATCTCTTATTTTGTGTGCTTATTTCCTCCAGTAGCAGTCAGACAACTAAACACTGGGAGATGCCTTTCAAAATCCCACCTCAGTATGGATTATTTTTTAATCTGAAGTTAAATTAATTTTATGCTCATAGAAAGGAAGAACCTGAGGGTATTGGTTTGAACCAGTCATAATGTGGTCATACACGCACCTCATTGTAATTTAGTCAGACCTCTCTGACACACCCCTTACTCTTGATCTTCTATGCCTCTGCTTCCTTGGTTTTTGTTTCTTCATGAATAGAAATTAACAACTGTGCTAAAATCTGTGGGTTTTATTTAACGTAGACCGATGGAGACTATGAAGGCCATTTTCACTGTGGCTTGTGGTTAGGCTTGAAACAGATGAAGAAGAAACACCTATTCAGCCACTCAGTTTCTAGTTTGACACTGGCATGATTTGGCCTGAATATTACTTATTAATCCATTCTTGACATCATTACAAAATATTTTTCTTCAGGTAGTTGTCATATCTTGGGGCTTTTTAAATAATCTCCTGGGGGGGGGGTTAATGACAAGTTTCAGAAAATAAAAATGTAGCTTTTATTTCTCATTGCAGCAGAGTGGCCGAAGACCATGACTGGCCTCCCAAGCACATCAGGAACTACCGCCAGTGTGGTAATTATCCGTGGGTCAAAGATGTATGTGGCGCATGTCGGAGATTCAGGAGTGGTGCTGGGAGTCCAGGATGACCCCAAAGACGACTTCGTTAGGGCTGTGGAGGTGACACAGGACCATAAGCCTGAACTTCCGAAAGAAAAGGAGAGAATCGAAGGGCTTGGGGGCAGGTAACTCTGTGTTTTGTTTCTCATTTCAGTTGTTCATGTCACCGGCCTTTTCCTGCTGATCGAATGGGTTCAAGTCTACTTAAGCATTCGCAGCTCAGTGAACCGGTTTGAACCTTTTTTTCTGTGTTTCTGCCATTTGGGCTCTGACTGTCCAGCGGGTTAGCTGTGGGGAAGTAGTTGTGTTCATTTTACTGTTTGGTACTAATGCCATTTTGCTGGAGGTTTATGGGACGGGGTGATTTTTGATTTCCGAATGGAAGCCCAAAGAAAATCTCCAAAGTAAGAAGTATATTTGGGATTCTGAAAAAAGTGGGAGGGGAAGGGAGGGGTGGTTGCTGACTGACCTTGTTCTCCTTGACTTAAGAGTATTTGAAAGAGAAATTTGTTTTTCCATGTAAATATTAACTAGGAGCTGTAGAGCGCTTTTTCTATCAAATGAAGAAAATATTAAGGTTTTGGTAGCAACGTAGTGTCATTTTGCAGTTGGTAAGGCCTCTATTGGAATACAGTACCCTGTACTGGCAATAGATCCTAATTAGATATGGAAGATACCATCTATCTGCTCTATAAAAGTAAAATTTCTGATGCATTTTACATTGCCCTAGGGGTAACAATGCCAGCTGTAGAACAGGCCTTGCAAGACTTTTCTTTAAAGAACACTCAGATCACAAATGAATAACAGAACATAGATGTATATTTAAACACTGTAAATCTGAACATTAAGTCATAGTATTTGAACATTGCTACCTCCTCTACTTGCCAAAGCTGAGTTTAGGTTTCTTTTCCGTGAACTGACTGATGTTAAAACATCCCAGAAGGAGTCGAATTGCAGTTCATGCATGTTCCCTATAACTGAGAGGTAGGGGAGCAAGCAGGAAGCCTTGTCAGATGGCACCAGTGCTGTGAAACAAACCTCAGGGCTCGAATCTGGCACAGCTTCACAGGAGCCCTATGGTCTTTTGTTCAACAGTACTGCACCAGATGGATGGGCACCGTTCCCTTCTTTTAGCAGTTCAGAGCGCAGAGATCACTGAAGGTTTTCCTGTTGACATCGTTCACACAAGAACCCTGTCAGCTCATTAACCTTCAGATATTTGTGTCTTTAGCAGGTGGAAGCAGATCAGCTAGCTGCATTTGGGATAAGAGGTTTCTGAAATAACTTGCTGTTTCACTAGGTTAGTGCCTGTAGCTGTTACAGGTTTCCAAATGTGCTTTTCTGTCACTGGCTGAAGGACACGGAATATATTTTGAAGTTCCTAGTTGCAAGTGGGCATTTCCCAGAATTTCCTTTTTTACAGGAGTGGTGGGGATTGATATTGTCGTCTTGTTGGTGGTCCTTCAGCTTTTCCCAGAGTTGGTGACGAAACTGGCAGAGACTGCCCAGCTACTCCCAGAACTGTGAGATGTGCCACTGGGCAGGAGTATAGTGGGATTGTGCTAGCAGGACATCTTCACTTCCCGTGAGAGAGAGGGGAAAAGGTGATGGGAGAAGAGGAGAATTGGATCTGCTAGTCAAATTAAGAAAGCTTCCCCGCTAAAAATCTGTTTAAATGTCAGTGTGGGATGGGATCTTCTTCCAGGCAGAAATAACATTAACATGATTTGGCCCTAGGGTTCCAAATGGGCATGGTGAATCTGAGGATATAGTCTTTGTGATCCTTCCTCCTATGCATATCACACCATGCCACGCAATAATGGGGCTCAATTCATCACTGATGTAAGGGCTTCAAAGTCCTTGGAGTTGCACCTGGAATAAATGTCGTACAAGGAGTTTGGAGGCTGCTCCGTAGCTTTTCAGTGTCTAATTGCCTATGGCTAGTCCATAAGTGAAGCTAGCTTTGGTGCCTGGTCCATAGCTTCTTGGAGAGTGAGCTCATTACCAAGCTGCACCAGTGCCTTTTTCCACTACCTCTTCTGAGTATATGGCTCATCGCCTCCCACCACAATAAGCCTCTTATTCCGCATAGCTTCTCCTTCATGTCCCCAATAACTGTATGTGAGCGAACTAATTTCACTGCTCCACATCTGAGAGCAGGTGTTAAAATTTAAATGTAGAGCTGTTTCTTTCATTCGGGCTTGAGAGCAGATGACTGTTCTGTTATTTCTGCCTCCTGTTGCTACTCTAGCAAGAAAACCTCTACATTAAGACTGTTTAAGGTGGCTCTTTTCAAAAAAAATTTTTTTTTTTTAAACCACTCACTCCTGCTGCTGACTATCAGAGCCATGGCGGGTAGTAAAAAACGAAAGAGAGAACCCTAAATAACAGTACCCCTTTGGAATTTGACATTGATGTTATACAGCCCAGCATCTCAGGGGAACAAACTTTCAGTTTGTCGTCTCCTCTGATGTGAGGGAGACATTTAGTGGCGTTCAGGTGATCAGCAGGAGGCCAAAAATCCCCATAGCTTTTCATCTCTTTTTCTGTCCCCTTTGCCTCGTCTGCCAAAGCTGGGCTAAAAACCTCAAATTATCACAATCTTACTGTGTTCTGAAGGATGCGTGTTCACTGCAGGCCTTAACCGAGGTCATAGCATTAATTCCATACACAGTAGGGGTAACTGTTTCTGTAACTTAAACCATACAAAGTCAGCTGGGTTGTGACTAATTGTTTTTTTTAATCTCCACCCCTTTGTTTCTAATACCTCTAGTGTGATCAATAAGTCTGGTGTGAATCGGGTTGTCTGGAAGAGACCTCGGCTGACTCACAATGGCCCAGTGCGGAGGAGTACAGTCATTGACCAGATTCCATTCCTGGCCGTGGCACGAGCGCTTGGTAAGTGGTGTCCAGGCCTAGCACCGGAGAAGTAAGATCCCTAAATGTTGAAGCCACAAAACAAGCAGCAGTATCTTTTTATAGAAGGGAAGATGTCCCTGCATATAGAGCATCAGAGCAGTGTGAATAGAGAATTTCCCAAATTTGGCTTAATGGGTGAGTGAAAGCTCTCCCCTGTGATATACAGGACGTGTGTCCCTGTTAGTCTTGCGAAGCTGGCTTCTTCACTTCAACACAAGTTTCCCCCCTCCCCCCCCCCCCCTTAGAGGTGATATGTATCTGTGAGCTGGAGGGCATGCTGAGTCTTCTCTGTTGAAATAAATGGAAACCACTCCAGAATGCTTGATGAGGTGATATCCAGCATTATTGCAGTAAAATTTGAAAGACTTGATTCTTCCCTTTGTGATGTTGCCTACTATTTTCCATCTAAAGTTCCCAGGAAATAACAGAAGAATTACTGCCAAGACTTAGCCATATATTTTTACATACATATTTTTGCCTTTGGTGATCCCATAAAGGGGTTAGTAGGGGAAGCATGTTGGGCAGAATCCTGTTCAGAAGGCAGGTTGGCCATGTGTTTTGGGTCTGCCATGTATTGTGTAAGAACTCTTGGAGGAAATGCTTTGTAGTTTGGCAGCAGTTGGCAAAAACCATTTGATGTCCCTACATGCTGAAGAGTCTTTTCTTGTCACTTCCTTCCCCTGGATTTAAATGCTGAATCTAGCTTTGTACAACTCTGTCTCCCCTCTGTGCTCTTAGTTGGGAATGCTCTGTTCACGTCTGAAGACGACCTGTTGGGTACAGCTTTTAGGAAAGGTGATTTCTAATTCTTGTATTTTACTTATAAATACAATACCATGACTTCACTCATCTTGGGATAGTTAGTCAGCACTCTTATGACTGCATCATTGTTCCTCAGCCAGCCAGTAGAGGCTGTCATGTGAGGCAGTCTGGCAGCACTAAGTTTGCTGTCTCACTTAGTAATTGCTTAGTAATATTGCCACTGGCTTACAAGCCAGTGCTGTTTGTGCTTCACCTGAAACTGTCGAATGCTAAGAGCAAGTGATATTACTCTTTTGTGTGACAATAACAGACACATAGCAAGTGTAGGTATCGTGGCAAACTTGGGGTGTGGAGAAAGCAAGGTGAGGGATCAGGTAAAGAACATGGCTTGACATGGCAAAAAGTAACATGACGCTTCTTTAAATTATATTAGTAGTCTCTGTGTAACACCTTGCAAGTGTTCATTATGTTTCAAAACCCCGTGGGAGACATTATCCTTGTTTCGTAGATGGTGAAACAGAGCCAGAGAGGTTAAGTGACTTGCTCAAGGTTAGGAGACATAGAGCTGTGGAACAAACCCAGGAATCATAACTTTCAGTCTTGCACTCCAGTTACTAGGCAAAACATGCACTTGCTCCTCTTTCCTACAGGTGAGCATGTATTGCTCTGGAGACTGTGTAAAAGGTAGAAGAGTTTTTAATTTGGTTAAAGGTTCATTCTCTCCTTTCCTTCTTCCTTTTTGTGGTTTTGAACCAGTTATGTGAATTTTCCAGAAGATTCAGTGGTGTTTGGGTCTGATTCCTCTCAGCAAGTCAGACAAAAGAGTTTTGGCTGGTTTCTATGTGCAGATGGGTATTCAGCGCATGATCCATCTGTTAGGCTCCTATTGTGGCCTTTACAAGTCTCATCTGGATGGAAAGGGTTGCTGGAGAGTCTGGGTGCAAGAGAGGAGAAAATGAGAAGATTTGTCCTGTGGCAGCAGTTCTTGCATTTGAAGTCAAGCATGCTTGGATCTTTAAAAAGATGTTCCTAGATGACCTTAAGATGCCAAGTTTACACTGGCTTGAATGACAATGTTTTGGTGTAAACTCTTCACATCCTCTTCGTGCATGAGGTATGGCCAACCTCTTGGGAAAAGGAACGCAGCTGTGTTCCTTTCCCTAGGACTCAGATGGTGCACAGATGCTCAGTTTGGAAACCGGATTTGACTCCGTGAGGGGCATGCTGGCCTCAAAAGCTGCTTACACAAGGCCGACCACAACTAAAATCATTGGTATTCATGCTACTAAGCTCTGTTCGACCACTTGGCTGGCTCCCAGCATTGCTGCTCTGGTTGGCACCAACACTTCATGCACTGGAGTCTCTCCAAGTAATTCAGTTTGCTCTGATGCTAATAACCAGGTTAACCCTGACATACTTTTCTGTTACCAGCACTGTAGTCAATTTCACTAGTTACCAGTATAACGAATGGCTCCGCTGTGCCCAGATTTGGGCATTACACTAATTTTTTGCAGGATGCCAGTAACATAAAATATAGATACCAGCTGTACAGGTAGCTAAATGATTGTCTAGGCCAAATTTTTTTGCCAGGGGAACGTCAGTCTGCTAAATAGGCATTCCCATCTGCCTCTAGCAGGCACTGGTACAGAAGTTCATCTGCTCACAGACTGCAAATTTCTGAACACAGACAAGGTAATTATATCTTGTGGTGTTCCTAGCTTTTGCTCTTCTGACACTTCACAGTGTATTAATGTGATTTCCCAACTTTCTGCAGCTCAGGTCTGTTCCTTAATCTCTTTTTATTCTGATATGGAAATGGGGACATCTTAATTTTGATGATCTATTGATTTTCCTTCTCTAAACCTGGTCATCGCTGTAAGGAATGCAGTGAACATTTTAAATATAGCCAATGCCATAGAAAAACAAATATTTGGACAGCAAACTTGAGATTGGCACAGTATATGAGCCATCCTGGTGAAATTAATTCTCCCCAAATTCCCGTTGCTCTTCTACTTGGGCACACTATCCTTCTGCCCTGAACTAAACAGTGGTGCTGTATATTCTTAAACAGCATCTGCTTTCCACTTCAGTGGTGACTGTAATTAAGTAATGTATGAAGTAATCTATTTATATCCTATCAACCCCTCTATCGGATGTGTAAGTTTTTAATTAGTTACTTTTCTGTAAAGTGCCTAGTGTGCTGCTGTTGCTATGTAAATGTATATAAGGTGCCCTTAGATCTTCTAATGACATGCTATAGAGGTGCAAACGATTGTATTGTAATTTAAACATAAATATTTGTACTTAACTCTTCTGAAAAAAGCCCACCTTACTGTAGAATGTGCCCAGTTTGGTTTGTAATGGCTATTTATGGCTATTTATGGACACTGTATAACCCCCTCAAGCTGTTAACACCTCAGATTTTTAGGGAGGCCTCAAAATGTGGCACCACCCATGTGGCTCAGATGGGAGTTGGGTCTTCTAAGCACTTGCTCTGCAGAACATGTTTGTGTCAAATGATCCACACTCACCACTTCCCCACTGTAGATTTACAGGCCACTCCTATTACAAGCCACTCCCATTTCGGGAATAGTGTTGCAAAGACTCCACTGAACATGCTCACAGACAGCATTTTGGGGAGAAATCTCAAAGAGCAGACTAGCCTTTCCAGAACAGCCATTCTCCAGAAAGCATGTGGTAAAATAGATTTCCCTGCCTCTCCCTCTCCCTCACTTTTAGAAAGATTGCCAGATGGGTAGCACTTCAATTACATTCCTTATCAAAGTTACATTAACCCGTTAGCTTCTGCAGAGACTTCTGTGATCAAATATGGCTGTCTTTCAATGCTCTATGGGTGAGTGGCCAGGTACCTGGTAGGTAGCACGGGGGTGCATCTCTTGCTCCCATGTACTTGGTTCAATCGGAAGAAGTAGTTAGCTTCGATGTTGAAGAAATAATTCTGAAGTAAATGTCTGGTCTGTTTTTATCTTTGTTTTTTGGTAGCATCCAAAGGCCCCAATCTCTATATGGGCCCTGTTATAATACGTTGTGGTGTACAGACCTAGCAAGGATGTTGTCTCGGCTCTGAATAGCTTAAATGGTCATTTGAAAAAGGAAGCAATGGCTGAGTATAACAACAGTAGGAGAAGAGATTAAAGCAATCATAAAATCACAGAGTTGTATAGGCCGGCTATGCACACAACTGGATCCTTATGAATATTTCTTTAGCTGGTATTTATAAGTTATTTCCTGCTGTTCCACAACCTGGCCAAGATTAGTTGGCTAGTACCTTGTGGGCATCGTAGCAGGAGTGGGTCTTGAGAGAGCCTTGCAAATCACGTGGGCAGTTTCTTGGTGGGGCAGTGGCTCAGATCTGAACCCAGTTCTTATTTTCTGTAGGATTTTTCGTTTTTTTTTTTTTTTTTTTTTTTTGTCCCCAGGAGGACTGGTCCAGAGCCAAAATCAGCAACTGTCAGTGAGATTACATAGTGTGAGAGGCCTTGGTTCATCATAGTTGAATAGTTCTCTTAATTCTTCATAAACAGTGAAACCTATACTTAGGCACTCCATAGTTAAACTCTTTACTTGACATGGCCACTTTAAGTATACCCTTGTGATTTCTTGTGTCTGTATGCATGTTTATAATTTTTGTATGTGTGCGCTAGGAAAGCCAGGTTTTTTTTTTGGGGTGGCTGCATAATATAGGCCTGATTCTAATTTTAATAAGTACATTAGGATTCCTGCTGACACCTAAAATAGATGCACCATATACTGGGACACTAAACGCATAATATCTACCAGAATGCTGGCTCTTACAGAGTTACTTACATAGGAGCGGCATGTCAGAGCAGCCCATTGAATGCCAGAATTGTCTTGTACATTTTTTTTTCATGTGCATGCCGGGAAATGCTAGGGTGGCAGGTCTAGTTGACTTCAGATTATCTAATTAGGTCCTTGTATAAAGATTTAGTTTTCATGTTCATTGAACTGTTAAAAAAGAAAAATCAGTTACAGTGCAGAGTGGGCATAATTTTCACACGTATGCTTTTTAGGTCACGTGTATCGGTTCATACTTAGGATTATTCTTTATGCTGTGTCCTATTAAATTACAGTTTAAGATGTAGATACATACTAACATTAGAGATTGCAAAGCATTGTCCAGATTCTATTGATAAGAGACTGAGTGGTGAAAACAATTATTTGATGGTAGCTGAGAG